TCGGGCCCCGGCGAAGTCGATCAGCCTCAGTCCGTTATCGAACGTTTCGTCGTGGAGGCTGAATTTTCCGACAGTGGCGCCAAAGATCCCTTCCTTGCCCACCTTGGCATTAAAATCGCCAAGCACGATTTTGACATCGTGTCGGGGGCAGCGCTCATATGTACGTTCCAAGCGCTCATAGAAGAGATCCTTGGACGCCTCATCCTTCTCTTCCGTCGGGGCATGGGCGCAGATGAGCGAGATGTTGAAGAATCTAGCTTTGATGCGGATTGTGGCTAGACGTTCGTCCACCGGGGTGAACGCCAGTACTCGGCGACGGAGTCTCTCTCCTACCACGAATCCAACACCGAATTTGCGGTCCTTTACGTGGCAACTGTAGTAGACGTCGGAAGGCTTCACGCTTACTTTACCTTGCCCCGTCCATCGCATTTCTTGGATGGCGGTGATGTCAGCCTTTGTCTTCCCGAGGACATCAACCAGCCGGGCAGAGGCACCTTCCCCATTAAGGGTCCGGATATTCCAGGTGCATACCCTTAAATCATAGTCCTTTATACGTTTGCCGTGGTCGTCATCAGAAAAAGGGGGTCTCATCCGAGGCTTGTTGGAATTTTTCATTGGGCGGGGTTTTAACGTGGCGGGACCCAAACCCAGCGCACGCGAAGTTTTACGCCTTCTCACTTTAGCTCGCTCCCAAACGGGTGTTTGGTTGCTACCCAGAGGATACGTGGATATAAATATCCGGACGTTGTGAGCTGCGAACCGTACGCACAAGAATCGCTTCTGGCCACTCCCAGGTGAATGGCAGTCAAAAGTTTTCCACTTCTGCGCACGGAACCATCCTCCATCCATCCTCTAGTGAGCTACTAGTAATCCATAAAATTTTTAAACGTCATAAGAAAGAGCTAATGTACATTCTTGCATACTTAACCCGATTTTTGCTTTATTGGGATTATGATACTTTTATATTAAATGAGCGATGCACATATATGTGTTAAATATACGTATTTATGTGTTTTTATTCCTACTGGGTTGCTCACGCGAAGCAGTTCTCTTGTGCTTACCAACACAAACACAGTTTAACTTTTGCCGACCACTGATTCAAACTCAACAATTGAAAGCACGTTGACATGTATGGCTGTAGCTGAGTGTGCAAAGACGCTTGATACAATGGGTTGCAGCCAAGAGGTCCGGGTTCAATTACCATCAGACGGAACATAAAATTAAGTTTTTTTTTTCTTAGTTACGAAAAAGCATCTGTGCACTTCACGACGACATATTTTATAACGCACATACTCAAATTTAAAACGACTGAGGTTGGTGCTCTTTCATATGCGTATTTTTTTTAAATTTAGCACGTTTTTTTTAATTCTAAAATTTTTTTCCCTCAGTGTATATAAAAAACTGTTTCAAAACTCGCTATATTTAATTTCTATATATAAAATTTGCAAAAACTCCCACACTGCGATTTTGATTTTTAATGTTATTAGGCTCTTATTTATCCAAATTTTCAGATAATAAAAAGAAATACACAATTTGGATGTTACTTGTTGTTGTAGACGTTTTTTTTTTTTAATTTATGGCTTACAAATAACGCTGTTTGCATGTTGACTACTCAATTATATTCAACGATCTTGAGGCCGCTATTAATGAAAATTTTTGTGGAAAATCAACAGCAATTTAAATTTTAGTAGAAGTTATAGCTGCTTTTTCGGGCAGCTATTCTAGTACTATTTAGACTTGACCGTGTGGTTGATGTTTTTGTTGGTTTTTTGAAAATAAATATTACATTTTCAGAATGTTTAACTTTAGGTGTACTCGTCCTTAACCCTAGAGTAGCCGCGCCCTTCCGATAAGAGCGAGTGATCGCGTGGGGAGCATTTTACCGCCCATATTTAAAAAGTTGTTGTGTTGGAATTAATAGTCAAATGAATTTAAAATTATTTTATTAAGCCAGAATGAAATAAAAACTAAGCGAAAGAGCAACATTTATTAAAGTTTTGCTGTTGTATATAACAACGCTTGATCTCTACAAATGTGTTGTTTGAAAAATAGCATATAGTTTTTTGCCCCGGGCGGCAAAATGCTCATGGCGCGGGCACTCTAGCGTTATTTTTTTGTTATTTATGGCCTAATTTTACATTGCTTTGCTTTTCTAAAAAGAAAATTTCCAAAAATACAGCATTAAAATTGATGTCGTTTGTTACAGATTGTGTATGTAATTTTACCTACCCTCTTTCCTAACATCAGGTTTGTTTTTTACATTTTCGAGCTAGTTTTGGGCAAATGAGCGTAAGTGCAAAATTTATGGCCAAGAGAAGGCCACATATCGATTGTCCTCTGCCATAACGACACAACTCAACTCATTTCATATATTTCCGTAGAGCCAATTAAAGATTTGTGTTTCGTAATTTAGCAATAATGTCTTGGAACGTAATTATTCCAGATTATTCGCAGTCGTGTAGTAGAGAATATTTGTAAGTTTTCAAATTATAACTTTTACTAAAGATTTAGTAAGTGTAGGACTGCAAAAATACGAAATAAGTAACAACTCGTAAGTAGTTCATCGAAAAAAATTCCATTTGTATTGCTGAGCAACGGCACAAAACGAAAAGTGTCGTTGTTTCACAAAAAAGGTAACAAGTATTTCACTGAAACTATGAAATGACAACGGCAAAAACGAAAAGTGTCGTAATTTCACATACAGGGTGTCCCAGAAGTAACCTGCCAAACTTTAGGGGAAGGTAGGTGGGGGAGTGAGCTCTCTGATAAACAAAAAAATTTTCAGGTAAAAGTTTTTGAAATATTTACATTTTTTTGAATTTAAAAAAATCATGCCTTTTCATGTATTTTCTTTAACTGCATCTACAAACCAGGCTATACTTAGTAAATTTTTTATGTAAAATACTTCCAGATACACTGAGAAAAAGGATTAGTTTCGACAACTAAAGTTGTTTAGTTCCCGAATTTTGACAATATCTGGGAACTGTTACCAAGGATT